CCCCGAACCTGTCCTGGAGGACTTTTTAGGCCCTGGATACCCCCCACCCCCTTCCCCCCTCAGCCCAGGGCCAGGCACTGCAGCTCCGCAGCAGGAGGGAACCCTCCGGACCTTCGGTTTTCCCGGCTTGCCAACGAGGCTTGCAAACTCGGCTCCTGCCAGGGAAGCTCCTTCCCCGAAGCATGCAATTGCTCAGAGCCCTTCCCAAAAGGTGCTGCTTCCCTGGCAGGAGCCGAGTTTGCAAGCCTCGTTGGCAAGCCGAGAAAACCGAAGGTCCGGAGGGTTCCTGGGCTGACGGGGGAGGGGGTGGGGGATATCCGGGGCCTAAAAAGTCCTCCAGGACAGGCTCTGTTGAGGCAGAATTCAAATCACAGGCATTGAGGAGTTTTAAATATTCAAACCAAGAAATCAGACTCCGTGAAATCAGCGAGACTTCCCCCGCGTGGTATGCATAACGTTGCCCCTCAACCCTCACTGAAGCCACTGAGCAAATGAGGGAGTCCGTTGTTGGCAACATTACAAGCCGATGCTGAGGCTTCAAGTCAGTTGCGCCCATTTAACCCACACATAACTGCCGCCCAGGATCAGCTCCTTAAGAAGCTGAGAATTGCCCTAAAAGTCGTTTACATTTAAAACCGTTAACGAAGCCCCCTAAGCATTCTACAGGTGGGAGGATCACTCGCGCTCGGCTGTTAACCGGCTCTTTTGTGGGAGGGGTCGCGCAGGGACCGTTGATTGGGTGAAGCGAGCGGGGGCGATTCAATGGGAGAGAAGAGGCGGGGCATTATCTCCACGGTTACGGGGGAACACAAATCACAGCGGAGCTTTCATCTCGTGCTGTTGCCAAAGTGAAGTGGCGAAACCTCGCTTGGCCTCATCCTGCAGTAAGTCTTCCCTGGGCGGCCCTTTATCCGTGTTCTGCGTTGGCAATACCCGTGAAAATGATTTCATCGAACTCATTTGTGCCGCCCCTCGCGTCTTAGTCAAGATTGTCAAGAGGGGATGAAGTACCACTCTGTGATTGTTGGGGAGGGAAGTGTCATTCATTTACCATATTTTTACTTCGCTTTTTTGTCAGTGCACTCAATTCAGAATCAAGCCCCGTTACGTGTGTGCGCATGCGCACATTTTGCGGCTCCCAGGTTTTTTTTTTTTTGTGAGGGAAACGGGTCCAAGTGGCTCTTTCACCGTTTTAGGTTGCCGACCCCTGTTCTAGACCACGGGTTAGCAACCCGCAGCTCCAGAGCCGCATGTGGCTCTTTGAGCCTTCTCCTGCGGCTCCCAGCCTCCTCCTCCATTTGCAGAGAGAGAGACAGAGACAGAGAGAGGCACTTGTGCTTCCCTTCTCTCTCTCTCTCTCACACACACACACACACTGAGTGGGGGAAAAGGACTGACAGACCAAGGCCAGGAGAGAGCCAGCCCAATAAGAATGTGTGTCAGCTTGTCGTGAAGCCAGTTTGCCAGGTGAGCAGAAGATTGGAGAGAGGGAGAGAGAAGGGGGAGAGAGAGAGGGGGGGGGAGAGAGAGGGAAGGAGACAAAGAGAGGGAGAGAGAGAGAGAACTCATGCACAGCAGCCTCTATTTCTTTTTAATTAAACTCTTTAATCAAGCTCCTCCCACTCGCGCGCGTGCGCACAAGTTTTGCGGCTCCCAGTGTTTTCTTTTCTCTGGGAAATGGGTCCAAGTGGCTCTTTGAGTGTTTAAGGTTGCCAACCCCTGTTGTAGACTGACTGTGTCTGCTTGCCAGGAACTGAAGGCTTTGTCCTCTACTCAGAGCTGCTGAACACACATACTTTAACCCTTTTTCACAAATACAGAAGAGAACAAGCTTCCACCATTCCCATTTTATTTATTTGACATATACTGTACCCTGCAGAAACCAAATAGCTCAATGGTTTCTATGCTCAACATAGTAGCAAATCTCCATTACCTTTCATATGTAATACATGTGTGCTGACAGGGATAGAATTTGGGTTCCTTTATGTAATTTATGATTAAAATTATCTCCAGTGAAAGCATAAGCTATCCGTTCAATCACTATGTCCTTGTGAAATATCATTCACTCCTTTAAAATAGCTTTTCTTTATCTTTGATATAACATCATGAAGTAGGGATATGTATATTGAATTCTTTCACAGCTATAACCCCATGATTACAATATAAAATCAATGGGAGCTCATTTTGCCACCTCACTGGGGCTATAGATCTTGATTTTTAAAATTATTTGAAAACATGTTTTGCATTTACAAGTTTGTGATGAAAAGTAAAAGACAGATCTATGATTTCACATTTTTAATAAAAATCCAACTGAAATTACCATTAAATCACACTCCTCTGCACAGAATGAATTATAACAATCACAAATTGAGAAAATATTGGTGCTGTTTGTCAACTCTACAACGAACCTGGCTGAAGCCATCTTGCTCGTTTTCGGTTGCCACAGGAATGGGGGGAGGAATAGGGAGTTTTATGCTAGTCTAAACATTTCTCTATCCCGTGGGAACCAAGGTCATTTCTGTTGCTTGGACTGGGGGTTGAGCCTAATGTTAGAAAGCCTGCCAAACCATTCTATTGGGAAACATAGTTGATTGCATAGTTTCTGGGGTGGGAAGTTTAACTTTGTAATACTGTAATATTTTGGAGGGAACTTTTAGTCTTGGTTTCACTTTTGACCGTGCCGATGCTTTGTAAGCAATAAACATGCTCTTAGAGGAAAACTCAAGCCTCTGAGTTCTGCTTTAATTGGTCTCATCTATCAGAACCATGACACTGCTATGGTGCAAAAATGGAACCGAGACAAAGATCTTCAAAATCATTTCAATGTTTAGAGGTGATTTATCTGAAACACTATAAAACCACACCTTTTATCTGATTGGAATGAGCCAAACAAATCTGATTATTCCTGTTGGTTCTATGGCTTAAAAATGTAGACTTAGGCATACCTGAGTTCATTCTGAAACAGTTTTTAAAACATAAATCATATCTGCCCTGACAAAACCTAACAATTACAAAACTGATTATTTTTGCTACTGTTATAACACTTGCTCAGTAGTATTTGCCAAGGAACAGATGGAGAGAATATGAAGGTTTGGATCTCTTAAGACCAGCGGCCCTTAACCTTTTGGGCACCAGGGACAGGTTCCATGGGGAGACATTTTTCTGCAAGCTGGAGGGGGCATGGTTTTGCATGCTACCTGCCTTAGACCCCATCCACACAGCTTCCTTACCCCCACTAACCATTTCCAGAGTATATGTAATCTTGCCAGTATTTGTTATATGTTATCCAAATATGGTTTTAGATGCTTTTTTTCAGAAGTGGAACTCTCTAGAACTTCCCTGCAGACATAGCACATGGAGGAGGAAGCTTGAAGTGATAGGATCAGGAGTTGAGATATGTTGCAGGTGTCAAGCCCGGAAAACTTCATGCTGTTTCATATATTTTTTTCCCCTTGGTTTGTCTACACAACAGGGGGGTGGAACAGTGGGGAGAATGGAATGTGTGTTGCAGCTGTGGAGTGGCAAAAACATCTACAAGTTTGTTTTGGAAACTGAAAATTCTTTCTCATAATAATTATCTGGAGCTTAATTGGGCAGTGTGACCTGCATTGTCAGGGGGGAATGGGAGTTGCTATACTTTTAATATACTGCTTTCGCGCCAATTTAATCAGAGCTGACTTCACTTAAGCCAGGGGTGTCCAAACTTTTTTCAAAGAGGGCCAGATTGGATGAAGTGAACGTGCTGGAGGGCCGAACATTTTTCCGAACATTCTTTGAACCATTACAATTAAATGCAAATGAATTATTTTATGCCTCTTTCCTCTCCCTCTCTTTCCTCTTTCTCTCTCTCTCTCTTTCCTTTCCCTTTCCTCTCCCCTCTCTC